CATTAACATTCGCACAACGGCGCGCGTTACATTAACGCGAACCGCGTTGCGCAAACAATCGCGTTTTGATTTAATATATCCCTGTCGTGTACGTGCATGCATTGAGCTCGGATAGTGCGAAATGGGTACAAAAGGATTGTTGTTCTTCGTATTATGTATATGTTCAGAGATCGATAACCCAGTTAATATACGCTTACATAAGAAAAATTATTAATAATATATTTAATATATTTTTGTACGGTTTAGATAAAATAGACACATTGATGTGGAAAATAATAGTACAGAGGGCCCGAATATTCCCTGAAAAACCATTGTTTTATACTGCCTCTCATGACGAATGGAAGTAATTAAAAACTAAACAAATATCTGATCAATTTCAACGACCCTTTGTATTGATTCTGTTTTTGTGTTTGGAATTTTTCCCGATGGATGGTTTGGAACGGCTGATAATGCTCAACGATGCTTCAAACAAATTGTTGTAGGTATCCATGGAGCAATAATTTAGCAAGCTGGTAATTGCTGCCTAAATTGAACGTTACGATACTGTTTGCTCAACGACCAATTTGTTCGATCGAAATAACGAACCAATTAACCATGTCATTAGCGATTGGCCCGATTAACGCATTATCTTATATCGAGTACTAATTTCGAATTATCCGCTCCGTTCATTGAATTCCTAAATTTCGATTGCCGCCACTTATACCGTTCCGAGCGTACAAACGATAATTTCGTACATTATCACCGCGTAGTTACGAGGGTGAAAAATGCCTCGCAGTTTTCGGAGACTTCGCAACATTTATACAACTTTAAGCGTCCCTAAGAAGAACGTATGCGGGAAGTTTCGAATCCACTGAATCCGAAGTAGAATTTTAACTGTCAAAGTCGTTAGCTTAAGCGCGGGCAATTTTATTCGTAGAAAACATTATACCAATCGATCATAGAGGTCAATGTTAAATAAAAAGCTCAACGAGATATAAATTTATTTTCTTAAAATACCGTCCAACTACTCGAATTCAAGAGAGAACACGATATCCGATCTGACCGAACCATCGATCTTATTTTCATCCCTCGTCCTTTACAGCTTTCATTTTCACAAGAGCAAGAATTTCGCGACGCTACCCAGACAATAAGGGTCAATTTACCATACGAACGATATCGATTCGTGGCTCGACGCACCGTCGGCAGATTTTTCCGCGGTACGACACCGGGGCAGCCTCGTTGAAAAGACTTCTAATTAACTGAAAGGAAGAACATATCGACAACACGCTCACCTCGCGAAGCCCGCGTCAAGAGACGTGGGCGGTTAAAAAGCAGTGAGAACCGGCCGAACGATCAATCTATTTTTGGACCGTATGTTTCCATAGAAGGGTGATTCGTCAGTGAGCTTCGCGAAGGATAAAAGACAGTTCTTTAGATTTTGCGACTGAAACCGCACCGAGACGAGTCCCCTCGCAATTTAGTGGATAAATGCGGAGATTAAAGAGATTTATAATTTACCACATTCTGATGAATACACGAGTATATTAAAATTGTATAATCGACGTTTATCCTGCAACTTTAAATCTCAAGTTTATTCCTACCATTTCTCTCATGCATTCCTCCCTGATATTCTAAAATTTCCTCGCGTCTCGCAGACGCGTTGCTTTGAGAAAAAACTTTACCAGAGGGGGTGGAATTTATTGATTAATCGTGCCCAAGAAGCGTTTAGCGAAGACGTATTCCTCGAATATTTATGGCACGCGGAGACGAGAGAAAGACGAGATCGATGAGGGGATTTTACTGAGAGCCAGGTTTTTTTTAAGGTATCGACTGTCGTGAGAATTTGAGGACGAACGACTCGAGGCACGACGGAATGAAGACCGTGTCGCGTATACGGGGACACGCAAAGTGACTTCTCGCCGGATCGACAGGATCCACTGTCTTTCTCTCTCCCGCACTGGCGTATGTGTTTCGAGTGCGTCCCCTTTGTAACACCGGCGACTCTCTGTCGTAATAGCATTGATGGCAAAGCAATTTCCATTAACTAGCCAGCGAGCAAGCCAGCATAAATTGTAATACCATTATCATACCTAATTACGCCGATGCACTTTGACACGAGTTCGCATGTCGTAATTCATAATGCAGCAATTATGTCTAAACGGTTTTAAACAAACGACACGGGACGGACGCCGCCTAATTAAGCAGGCTAAGAGATATGCTCGAGATTGAGGTTTAAGTAGTCACGGATGACAATGGTCAGACGTCTGAGCTCATACGCGTGCGGTACAGAAAGTATTCGGTCGCTGTGTAAATAGTCGTAATACATCTCTGAGCGTGGTAGGAATTTACTTGCGAATTAAATGAGAGGAGACAACGGTAAGCTCCGGCGTCGCGTGGTACACGGTGTGCAACAGTTTGCAATTAACCGCGCTCGGCTACCTCTGCCGGGAGGTGTCCGATTGTACGACGAGCTGTTGTATCAAGTTGCTCGCGGTTTAAGGAGATCGAGATGGTAACGAGCGAACAGGCGGAAAATCGACTGCGGCGAATACGATGAGCACCCGAGTTAATTTTCATAATTCACCGAATGGAAAATGATATGAATCGTTTTCAAGAGCTTTGCGCAAACGTCGGCAACAACGTTTCAACGTCGTTGAGCCCAGAAAATCCTACTGAAATCAACGAAACGGTATCCGCGCGTTGTCTGACGTCTCTACAGAAAATCCCATAATTTCCATTAACCCGGGAAATGAGTTTCACGGGATTGCAAAGGGGAAAGAACGTGGGCATCGTTAGAGCGAAAGGCTCTGTCGTGGAAGAGAATGCAATGGTAACCGGAAAAAAAAAGACGATCATCTGTTATATTTCGATTCTAAAGTTCTGTCAGTGAACGACAGCGAAGATAGTCTTTACGAGGACGATGAAGGAAACCGAGTAGAGAGGAACGTATAAAAAAGAGGAAAGCGCTTCCCTTCCTGAAATGTATGTCATTCAAACGGGATCAACAGTTGTACATCTATTGAATTGTATTTTACGTTGTATTTATGTCTACTACGATACGTAGGATACAATTGTACACGTGAATCCAATGCGTTTAAGATGAAAACTTTCCTTGCGCCAGTTCTATGGAGAATCTATACAGCCATTTTTCTTTATCTCCTTCTAATACCGGATATATTTAATACGAAATATTGAAAGATAGATAAATTTCTTTGATATCCACTGAAATTCCACAGGCAAGGTTCCCATTCATACGAATCTGCATTGAGACGTGTCTTTTTATCGAAGAATCTTCTTACTTTACCAGGAATCTATTGCATTTTTTAAAAACGGTTCTCTTGCTTTTGAATTTAATGCAATAAGCTCAAGTAACAATATTGAGAAGGGAATAATGTCTGAAATGGTTACGAACGACGTTGAGCTCTTTTATCATAAATAAGTTTGTTAGATAATATCGCTTTCATTTAATATAGTCTCTGAGACCACAGCTGTTTCAAAACGTTTATGACATCCAACAAGGAACTCTTCATCCAATTTATTGCAGAAACTCGTTGAACAGGGAAATGTATTTCCAAATTAATGTAATTTGTTCCTTGTAAGAACAAAATATCAACATCTATTACGTTCTTCAATTTATATTCTTCCTATACTATGTCTAAATCAAGCTTGATTTTGACATTGTCATATGTAGTGGGAAGCGTATAAATTGTATGACAAATGCAGTTTGACAAATATTACGCTTATGCATTACACGGGTGGGTAGCTGCATGAAATTGCTTTAACATGATCTATTATCTCATTAACATAACGATCCATCAATATTACATTGGGAATGTTTTTTTTAATCCACTCATGTCATCGAATTACGATTTATGATTATGAAACAATTCGATCAATTACGATTACTTGCATTTGTTTGACGCAGTACAATTTTATGAGAAAAACAGGTTTTAATAGAGGTATTAAGTCTGTAATATCTTTAAGTATCACTGTATATATTCACGTAGTAATCTTCGGTATTCCTCTCAGTCTTTGATCCCAGCAATTTCAATAGGCATGAAAGCCCGATCAAATATAGATGCAAAGGAAATAAATGAGAAATCTATTAGATTGATGTTCTGTGAGATCCCTGTTCGCAGGATTTGAACTGACGCATCGCGTAGCGTTGGCCTAAACAGATACGCGAACATAAATCACCGTTTGCTCTATCCTCCACCGCTTAGCGAAGGGTGAAGCAAGCTTGATTGGCAAGTTAGAGCTTAGGACGGCGGCGGGTCGGTCTCGGGAAGTCCGGTCCGGTCGATAGGTCACAGTGTGAGCAAACATAATTTCGGTAGTGCTTACAAACCCTTTCATATATTGCTCGCGGGGGCTGAAAAGACGAGGGCCGCAGGGTTAAGGGAAGGATTTCGTTTCGAGATTACTCGAGCCTCCGGAAGAGTCTAGCCACGCTGATCGATAATTGAATGGATCCGACGAATATCGAATATTCTCGGAGCTGCATCGAGCAATTTCAGCCCTCGTATCGGGGAAAGACGAGTGCGGTGGCAAAGATGACTGTTGAATCTTGAATGAAAAGATTCGACCGGACGGTGAACCTATTGAATGCTCGTGAAACGTTATTTCACCGTCAAGTGGTTTCAGGATGACTCGTTAACATTCGAGGTGATCGATAACAGATAGTTACTTCTGCTTGAATATTAATGTGCGTAAGTTTAATTAAAAATTACACGACTATTCGACTATACCGTTGTTCAAATTTTACCCAAAATTAATCAATTCTCTTGAATCATTCATTAATATCATGTTTCTCTTTAATTGATAGTTAAGATAACTTAAAACTTCCAACAAACATCTCACTGTATAAACGCAATCTATTCCTTCGATATTAGATAAGGTTATCGTAGAATCGTATCGTTCGTAAAATGACGTCGACGAAAAAAAATACGTCGATAATCAATACGTGACGCAACGTTTCCGAGACCCATTAAATGTATAATATATAAATGAAATGTACTTACCCTTAAGCTCCATGTCCGTGACCTGATCCGCTTTGTAGGTGACCGTATCTCTGCGATCTCCAACGATGAAGTGAATATTCGCGTATTCCTCGTCGTTGCCACCGGTCCCGTTCCTCGTCTCGAGGTCCATGGCCAAGCGACTAATTTCGGCCTTGAACCGGCTTCCGCTCCTCTGTGCTCGACCTTGCGACAGCTTGCGAGGCGACCCGGCCTTGCTACTACTCGGGGCTGCAGGGAACATTCACAGCAACTCATTCAAACAGTAACCGAGGAGGGTAGTAAATGAATTTTTCAACTTTAATTCAATCTCGTTCACCCCGAGTTCTTTCCACCGGATCCTTCGGTCACATCGAAACTTCACTGATACCAATCAATTATAAATTAATGAAAAAGTGGTAAACGGTATTTGGAAAGATTCACCCTTAACGTTGTTACAATAAACGAATAGTTAACAAGAAGTGAAACAGATAGTGGAGATAGTGAAATATTGATCCACATTAAAGTGTGTCGTAATAAAGTTACGAACTCAACTCTTTTATTATTACATTTTGATTACTTAAACGAAAATGAGGCAACGTTGACAAAATTTTGATGAAACAGGAAGATCAGAGATTTTTAACTTTAATAATAAACTCCCAAGAAATTAAGTTAAATGACGTAAGTTACACGACACGGCGACATGAATTTAGAAATTCCGGGTCACTCGGAAGTGGTTACGACGTGGTTACTAACCTCTGGTCGGGTGTAGAGGGATGGTAGTATCCTCAGCGAGCTCATCGTCGCATCGCCGCCCCGGCGGCAACAACCGGGTCACCCCCGATTATTGCACCTGTCGACCTCGTACCTGCCGTGCGCAACACCTGCAGGGCGAACGATTCAACGTTGCAGGATCCCGTCGATGACCGTCGAGCCACCAGCCGAGAGGACGACCGCTCGTCTACTACCAGCTCGCGCAGCGCTCCTTCATGGTCCATTCTACGAGTCGAAACAAATTTCGTTTCCCGTTAGCCTCGGTGACTTGTTCGATGTATACGTGCGTACCTACATTCTCAACGTACGACGTGTATGTTCTTTCGAGCAGCTACTGATATCGTATAATCAGTCTACGTTTCAGCTGATAATTGAGAGTACGTCAAAGATAAAAAAAATTTTAGAACATACTAAACAAAATTACATATGATTTCGATTACCTGCTATTAAACTACTTTATATCTATAAAGTACATTTAATCGATTTTAGCTACGATCATTTAAAACAAAATAAATAAAATATCTGTTCCTCCGCAATAATTATTCATATCTCTGTACATTCCCGAAAGTAATCAAACAGCATAACATTACGCCTCTCCAAAGCCATATCAAAGAATCATCCGACTCGTATAGCCATGGGTTGAATATCGATGATACGGTTCAATTTTCGTACACGTACAAACGTAACCGGCTTCGGCGGTATAGCGATTACGAATTGCAGGCTACACCCAATCTCTCACGATAATTCGGCCCGGCAAATATCGGGTTTCCGGCTCCTCGGACTTTGAAATTTCCCGTAAACATCACGTACGGTCGTTGCGGTCGCAGGAGCTTGGCCATTCGTGGAAAAGGAACCACGTCTGAACGTTGGACCAGAAACAGAATTTGATTACAGACCATCAACAGGTCGGAACTTTCTCACTGCTCGAGAGACGTACATATATATAGTATTTACCTGCATTGTATACCTGTATGTACAAAATGGATTGCTAAAAAATTCACGAGGAACCGACGCAAAAACCTTGAGATACGAACAGCTGGTGTCGAGCTTCCGAGAAATGGTTGCACGTTTTAAAAATTGAAGAGATACGAAAGCATCTACGGGTTCCCTAAATTTTTAAACAGACGACGTGGTCTGATAAATATCATGACCGCGGATTTTGAATTTGAACGATTTTTATGGAAAGTCCATTGACAAATATGCAACAACTTAGTGAGAGAGAAAGGGCTGTCTATCAAACTTCCGCGACATAATTAAGTATAAATTACTTCGTAGCAGACGTGAGCGAGTATTAACCTCGACTGAACGTCAGGAATACAATTTCGTATGGAACGTTGCGTGGAAATAAAGAGGCGAGTTATATGCAACCTAATGAATCCCACACGGTTGTTAGATCGGACAAAGGGTGTTAGCTGCGTCGTTTAACATCAGAAGAGCGAATTACAATTTCGCTAGTCCAGTCACTAATAATGCACTGACATTAAAATGCCGTACACGTTCGTTTGTTCTTCACCCTATACGAGACTACCACGCCCAGGTGTGGCGTACGTTGGCGGAGGAAATTTACGATTTCTCTGCTCAAGGCCGCCGACGGAAATTAAAAGGTCCGACACATCGTGTCTCACCTTTAACCTGCGACCTCAAACGACGGCTCGATCGACGAAGACGGACATAGCGCACGGAAGCCACCGCCGTCGACGTATATTTATGATGGCGCTCGTCAAGGTATATTCTACTCCCAAACGTGACGCGACGCCACCCACGCCTGGAATAAACGAGACGAAATCGGCTGTATCCACGTAAAGGAACAAATTCACTTGATATTCACCCCTTTTCAAAGATTTTCTATAAATTCTTTAATTATAGACGATAATAAGGATCAGTATTATTTTTATTATATATTTATGAAATTAAACGAATCAATAGTGTATTAAAAAATGAAATGATTCAATATAAAGTATAATATTATTATGAAATAATCAGCGTTTGAATATGAATACTACAAATGTGATATTTGCAATGAATGACTATTTCATTTCCGTAAGTTCATTATACGACATTACATCATACGGTATGAAAGTTCAATGTTCATTCATTCTAATGAAATGCGAGTCATATTACCCTTTTGTCAAATCAATAACATACGCTCCCGAATCCATTCAAATCGACGCATTTTCTCTTCATTGGTAATTTATGTTTCTATTCCGCTCAGCATATTATCTTTTCGTTCAACATTTTCATCATTTTTTTATTTTTTCCAAAAACATGACTCGACAAGCTCCGGAGTATATCTAAATCTCGCAGCATCCGGATTCTGGTATTACGTAACCAGGATTACGGTCGCACGAAACGAGCTGCAGCCAACAACAATTTCATGAAATTTATCACCACGCGAACGCAACCGTGGAAGCGTGATTTTTAATCGAGGGAAAATCTGTGAGCGTACAGCGACACAACATTCGCGACCGCGAAGTGCCATAAACGCCCCCGCAATTGTCACCGCAGCCTTTCCAGCGCGATCAGATTGCACGTATGACAATAATGACAGTAGTAATATAAACAGTATTACCGTAAATAACTCGGATGTAAATCTGCAAGTATAAAGTGCAAAAATGCATAAAACGTTGTTATACTTAATGCGTCTATTTAAGGGAAACCGCATATCTGAATACAATTGAACGATCAATGTTGAAGTTTAATTAATCAAACCAGAAAATTCCGCGTGGTTTTAATTGAAATGGCGCAAAGTTTGCCCATGAAATTGAAATAAAAGAAGCTTTAAATAACGTATTTCACGTCGAACTTTTACAAAAACATGCGAGCACCAGCATGATTGATTGCGGAACTTTTGAATATAAAAAAAATCGTTGATTATTTAACGATCAGCCGGCTCCCGGACGGAAAACGAAATAAAAAGAAATAATAGAACAATTGTTTGTAGGAAGCGATGTATACACGCGTTCGCTGCTGCTACCGCGGTGCAGCTATAGCGCGTGTTATCTGTTCAATTATTTATCGATGGTCCCGTCAAATCAAACATTTGCCGGGAAGAGTAATGCGCGTTCCTCCTCGAATGTAGCTCGGCGTGGCTCGCGAGACAGAAGGTGTCGAGCGAAATTTACAGGGAACCTGTTGCGGGACAATACCTGTTACGGTGCGGGTGAATCGCGGCCTCGCTCGGATGATTTTCAATTCCAGCTCCATCGACGGTGCAAAATCCACATGAAAATTCATGGTGTACACGCGCCGAACCTGTCCCGGTTTCCCGTCGGAAGTACGCCGATCCGACGCGGCACGGCAGCGGTGCCTTTAATTGGATCGAAATGCTCGGCGCACTTGATAACGTGACAAGACGTCCACCCGAACGCGACGGGATACAATCGAATCGTGGCGCGTCAAGCCAGCAAGATCGAAGTCGACGTCGACGACAGCGTCGCTGAAAACAGAGATATCGCGCCGCCCTACACCTACGAGCCGATATTTTCTAAACGGAGAAAATCGCGTGCAAAACTTGTATCGATCATAGAAGCTTGACGTTCAAATAAAATTTCTCCTCTCTGCAGCGATTATTTTTCCCTTATTTTTTGTCATTTTCCTATCTACAATCATACACGGAATTTGTTCGGCTGTATTATTTTGTATTTTTTATTGTATTATCAGTACTGTCTTATATATTTCAATGGTATATATATAAAACGCAACTGTTCGATAATATTCTGGGATGTCTCTATTAAGAGTGATTTTAGAATTGAAATTATTGATTACGTAGGAATAAATCGAAATGGTAATAGTTTCTGTTTGGCAATTCAGATAAGAGCTGCGTAACACGTTTTATAACCCTGTTTACACAGTGAATGGTACGATAATGTACGATACTCATAGAATCAGATCTTAAATTCCTTTATACTTCTGTGACAGGCTCATAATCGATTGATGTCTATAGATACAACAAATACGTAGCATAAATTATTAATACAAATAATTTTATACGTTTGTACAATGTTATTTTATTAGTTCAGAAATCGCGAAGTAGACCACGTTCAGTCGTTTAATTTTCTACGGCACGTTCTCTCACTTCTCTTTTCATCAGAACATCCATTTGACGATAAACCAGTTTTCTGACTTGGAACGATCATCGAATTTGTTTCGATCATCACGTATCAAATTTCATCGACGAGAGAATTCTCGACGCAGCGAGATTTCGGGTGAAAGGTCGGATTTCGGTGACTTGTGAAGTTATCGCGAACGCTCTCGGCTAATCAAATGGAACCTATCGGACGCGCGCGTATACGTACAAAGGCAGGAAGGGAGGCAAACGGTGACCCACGTGAACCGTGGCAACGGGAAAAGGGTGGAAATGCCGTAAACCAATCGGTATGGGTAACATCGAGAGCAAAGCCTGCGCAATAGCTATCACTCGCGAGGCTATACAGACGAAACACCTTTTCTAAATCGCCCAGCATGATTAAACTTCCAATTCTAACGTTTTATATTAGTACCGAAAAAAGAGGGCATTTTTATAAAAGCATTCCTTCCGCCTGATCCTGCATTTTAGCAAATAGTATAATTTACGAAGAAAATTTCACTTGCACAAGAATTACTATTAATTTCATAAGCTGAATTATAGGAACAATATGGATATTCGCAAAAATTGAAATAAAATGGAATCTCGCATAATCGCAAGAAAGATGGTTATTAACTGCGTAATTCCCCCACGCGTGCGAGTGTAGCATCGTACTTCAAAGCAATTGCTCCGAGCGAGTTTCTTACAATTTAATTCATACTCAGTCCACGAGTACACATGGAAAAAACTCACTGTCTTTAGAAAGAAAGTTCTTCCTTCTTTTTCGTTCCGCCCCAGCGGTTTACTTTGTGATGTCTGTAGTGAAGAGTAATAAGGAAATTGCGTTTCAAAGCAATGACATTATGCAACTATATAAAATTATGTGATAATAATCTGTGTTGCACATTTGCCATTTGAAAAAGAATAATAATAAATGGAATTGAAAAGGATTTCACAATTTCAGTAAGTGACGCAGTTCGCATTTTTGCAATTTAGCAAATTTTAAGTGACTATATACAACACAGTGAGTATACGTTTAATTCGGCAAATTAAATTAAGCAAAAATTCATCATGTAATTTATTGTCGACATTAATTATAAAATATATATCTTCGTAAAATCAAAAATTTATTCAAAGAATTGAAATAAAAAGGCTATTGTAA